CTCTTCTTTTCTCCTCGGAGCCGGCGAAATGTCTGGCAGAATACTTTGTTTGCCCTGTGGAAATTCGACTCTCCAACACCTCACCGAATTTCTCCCAGGAATCAGCTTTGGCTTTTGCCACTGCTTTCGCTGCCTGCTTACGAGCCTCGACATATCGCACCCGAGTAGAAGGCTGTTTGTTCCTAAGCCATTTCTTGAACGCTGGCTTCTGCTGTTTAACTGCCATTTGTATGTCTCGTGTCCACCATCATGATGTTTTCCGACCTCCAGTCGGTAGGCCAACCCGTTTTATCCGTAGCATTTGGCGGCGGCATTGAGTACGCCACTCTTAAAGAGCTGCCACTTGGCTTCCGCATCAGCGTTCATCACGGGGATTTGTTCAATCAATCGTGAGATGGTGTTCGCAAATCTCGCTCCCGTGTCCACTTAAGATAATGTTTCCCATTTGATTCTCCGGTCGCTTCTGCCGCCATATGTTCGTATGGTCCTGCGTTTCTTACTTCGCAGCGTGCCAACAACAAGGTGATGATCAGTTGATGGTTCTGCACCTCTCTTAACTTGAACATTTATTGCTGAGCGTCTTAATTCAGACGATATGACTCTAAAATCGATCATCGACTTCTATGCACCAGCTTCCTTTACCGGGTGTACTGTCGCAATCTTCGATGCTCGAAGAAGGTGTTTATTATAGGCAGTCTATTGTTTGCACAAAACCGCAACAACTTCGTGCAGTTTTTGTTATGGTTGTTTGTGCCGTTTTTGCAGTCACGCCGTTCCACTTTTCATCGTTTTCGTGGAGCCTGTTCTGACGTGCTGTAATGGCATCACGCTGTCTGCCTCCTCTGTCCCGACGGGTAAAGACTCGGTTGCTGATTTGTATCTTCGTCGTCGTTCCATCGGTGTTCGTCAGCGGTTGTTGTGCTTCTACGTCCCTGGTTGCCGGAAGGTGACGAGCAGTTTCTGATCGGCGACTTCGCAGTCTGCCTCAGTCCCCCAACAGCCTGCGCGGCCCTTGGTAACCCGGGCGACGACCGAGCCGGTACCGCAGTCTGCCTCAGTCCCCAACAGCCTGCGCGGCCCTTGGTAACCCGGGCGACGACCGAGCCGGTATAATTTTCGATGGGGTCAGTGCCATGAGTGGCAGATGGCGAACTTTTTCTGTGAGTTCGCCACGGTCTTCTATCCTCTTTCTTTCTGAACCGCGCTTGGAACCGCCAATGCCGAAGTTGTATTCGTTATAAAATTTTTTTTTCTTTCGTAGTAATTGTGATGAGAAACTGAATGAGAACTTCAGATATTCCCCTGAGTTGGGTGCATTAAGTAGTGGCGGAACCAGTTTTGTTCAGGATAGGCTACTTTGTCTGGACTGTGTGCAGTTCGTTCGTTCTTTTTGTAAAGTACTCAGTGAGGTGTTTATTTGGCCTG